GTACCTCCTATCGCTGAACCACTTTCGGATCTCCTTGGTGGACAAACCTGTGATCTTTGTCAGCCGCTCGACTTCAGCCTGGCCGGGGAACTGGTTTCTGCAGAAGCTGCCTTTGAGGGCTGAGAGCTGCTCATGGGACTTCTTGTTTTTGTAGACGTTGGGATCCAGGAAGGTCTGCGAGGAGATGGTAGGACAGGCGGTGAGCAGCGACTGGGCACTGTTGACCACCTTCACCCCTGAGGCGTTGCTGGAGCTCACCGTGCTGTGCTGCGCGGCCAGCTGCGGCTTGGGGACAGAAGTCACTGCCAAGGTGAAGGAGGAGCTGGTGCCTTTCAAACCATTTGCCATGATGGGCTGTGTGACCAGCAGTCCCCCCGTCCCCTCTGGCTGCCCCACCACATGGCCTGGTAAAGTCGCCTGGATAAGATGGGGGACGCTCCCAGTATTCGCAACCAGTGGCGTGTTCAAAACTGTAATGGTGGGCTGTGGCACGGACTGAATAACAGTGTTGAACATCTTCTTCCTGGCGTCTTCGATCTCCTCCGGTGACCAGCTGATGCCCTGCTTCAGCCTCTGAGCAGTGAACCAGATCTTCAGCTGCTCCTCTGGGTACTTGGTCACCACGGTCAAGTAGCAGAGCTCAGCTTTGGTGGGGTAGGGGAACTTGTGGAAAGAGTTTTTCAAGAAGCTGTTGGAGTCCATGGCAGCATTGTATGTTGGAATGCTGCTCAGGGGAATCATCACCTTGGGAAGGGACTTGGATGTAGGTAGCTGCTGATGCAATGGGGGTTGCTGTGGCAGCGACACAAGTTGTGCAACCCCTGCCTGCAGAACAGGCACATTTCCTATGATGGAGCCATTCACTACGTGAGATGATTTTGTGGAACTTGCAGTGGCCTGGCTGACTGGCACGGACCCGTTAGGGAATGAATGCTCTCCATCCTTCACCTCCGACTCACCGCCCAACTGACTCGACACGTTCTCCTTCAGCGTGTGGATTTTTTTGGCCTCGGGTTTACCTTTCATTATCTTCATGATGGGGGTTTTGGTAATGATAATTTCAGACTGGCCATCTGCCCCTTCTTCAGGGACCTCTCCTGGCAGGTCGTGGCTGCTGGTGGCCTCACAGAGACTTTGCTCCACGGTTGTACGATTGTCCTGCTTAGCCACCCTCCAAACAAAGCTCGTTTCGCCGCCGTGCGACTCCGCGTTGTGGTGCGAGAGCCCTTCGTGGCTGTTCGCCAGGAAGCTGCACGCGACGCACGCGAAGGCAGGGTCTTTGCTAAAGTCTAGGTGCTCAGAGTCCAAGTGCCCAAAGAACTGATGAACATCTTGAGATCCAAAGTCACAAGACTTGCAGATGTAAGTGTCAGTGTCGGCAATCCCACGGTGCCCATTGGGCAGAGCTCCGTTATTGCTGCTGCTGGCACCAGCGTCGCTCGCTGCTGGCCCTTCCGCAGGAGCCTCTTGTTGAGTTCCTTCACGATCATCTTCTCCAGCATCCTGTTCAGTCTCCTGAAGCACCAGTGTTTTGACTGGTATCATGCAGGGAGTTGTGGATTTCCTTTTGCTCGCCATCGCTGCAGTTGATCCAGATGATTATTTTTCTTTCACTTAAATGAAACTCAAATTTAAAAGGCGCTATTGCAAGTGCTCTGTGGTCCAGATTCCAGCAAATTCATCACGTCCCAAGGAGTTGTTGTCAAAAGTTGACAAATGCTCATATTTGCCACTGGACCTGAGGACAAGGAGAGGGAGGAGGGGTTAGCTCCCTTGGCATTAGACAAAGCACAACTGTCCAGGTATTTAGCTGTTTCACTCAATAAATCATTTTTTAGCCTCTTTCACTGGAAAGTTATAACTTGACCTTGGATTTACTGTATTTTCACACCTACAACCTGTGAATTACCTCTTTAAAAACAAACACAAACATGCCTCTTTTACAGTCCACATCAAATTCTCATTTGAGGAGGAAACCCACTGAATTTTCCCCTCATCCTGCCCTGTCAAGACCTGTCCTTGGTGTTCTGGCAGGGACAGCAGTGCCTGGGCTCCCTGTGTGCTCAGGATCTAGCCCCACGCAGGAGGTGATACCAGGCAGGGTCACCTGGGAAAGCTGCCTGCTTTCTGTCATGATGAAAAATCCACACACTCCCCACAGTACATTTCCATTTCTTCAGAATCAGCATTTTCCATCCATCCCATTGGGAAGTTTCTCGCCAGCCCAAAGCACCAAGCCTGTGCCAAGAGGCTCTGCCTGCAGACGCCTGGAGCTGTGCTGCAGGGAGTGAGGAGGCTGCAGATACAGACACTTATTTTAGCTCTCCTTGCTCAGCAAGCCTGCAAAGCATTTGGGAGATTCCCTTCCCATCCTGTGCACACTTCATTACTGTTTCAACAGCATCTGTGACTCTTCATCTTGAGCTGCATGAGAAGGTAAAGCCCCAAAACTCTAGGGCAGCATCACAATGTTCCTGGCTCCCAAGCCTTTCCCTCCCACCACCTCTGCAGCTTTTGGCATTCACACCACTCAGTGCACTGGGGGTGTTCCACAAGAAAGTGCAATTCTTGTCAGTGCAAGCCCATCTTGCTGGGCTTGGAATGACAAGAGAGCTGTTATAGTCAAAAATACCACCCCCCCGCCGCCCAAAAGCCAAACAACAAAAAGAAAGGAATAATTTTTTCTCTTCTTTTTTTTTCTTTCCTGAAGCTAAAGCAGACCGTGAACTGCTGGCCAGGCATTAGCCCCAGCCTTATTCCTGGAGCCTCCCCACGTGCACAGTGAATGCTCCGTGCCTGAGATCGCGATCCCAGTGCTATAGTTGGTACCAGAAGTCACCTGCCTGGTGACAGGTCCCAGTGCCAGGGACTGTAGCACGTTACAAGGGAGTAACATCTCTATCTGAACGTCTCTGTCAACCTTTTCTAGAGCAACTCTGCTTTTTTTTTCCTCTTAAACAGAGAAATAAAATGGTATTTTTCCAGACTGCAAGGTCACTTGGAAGCATATGGACACACTGATTCATATTACAAAGACTCTGTGCCAGATTTTCCTAGGATTTACAGTAACAGCAACAGAGCTTTACAAAAACACTCATAAAAACTTGAACTTAAAAAAACCAAACGACTTACTGTCCTATCAGATGACTCATAGAGGTAACTCCTATCAGTTACAGCAGTTGTGCACCAGTGGCTTTCTCAGATCAGATATTTGGAGCTGATCTCATGCCCTGAGAAATTCAGATCGGGCAAATGACTTGGTGGTGCTTATGCAATACCTCCTGTGCTTAGTTTTGGCAGTAGTTTTTAGAGCAGAGGAATGAAAGGCCTTCATATTAAAAAAAAAAAAATCATCAAACAGAGGAAGCACAATTTGACCTTCCTAAATTTATTAGAGTTTTTTAAAGAAAATTGCCCTGAAAACTGACATCATTTTTTCCAAGCAGGAGAGCCTGGATGGTTGGCTCTGGCCTCAGCAACTCTCAGGCACCGTTTGAAAGACTGATGGGAAAACGTAACTTCCCGTTAATGTGGGCTGATCTGAGATTACAAAACAGTCCTGTAAATAGTGTTAGTCATCACTGAACTTGGCATCAGGAAAGACTGCTTGCTATGCTAAAGCCTCATGAACAGCTAGAGAGTCTAACTTTACAAAAAATCCCTATAAATAAAACAGGTATTGAAGCTGTGAGCTGGATATAAGACACTGTGGATTGCACATCTCAAGACCTGCTTTAAGCCACTCTCATCCCACCTTCTCTGCAGAGGGCCAGAAAGTTATTCATTAGCATTAACAAGTGGAATACTTGGATGGCTATGAATGGGCTGTGCTATTCAGAGGGGAACAGCATCCATTTGACACCAATCCCAAGATCCTCATTTTTGATGCTAAGTTAAATATTACACAGTCTAGCAGGGTGCTGTGACCTTTCCAAGTAGAGTCAATTAGAGACAAAACAGCAAGATCAGCCTGAAGGCTACAAAATCCAGCTTTAAAGGCTGAAAGAAGTTTCATGAGGGAAGCGACAGCGAAAGGGAATTCTTATTTGATTTTATCCTGCAGCTCGAACACAGGGAGAAGCTGCTGGGCCCTCTGCAAGCTTTTTCCTTTCCTGCAGACTCTGGATAGAGATCCAGTGCCAGAGTCTCCATTACTGAGACAGCTTGAGTCCCAGACGGATCTTACCTAGTGTTCATGGAGTTGCCAGAAATCAAAAAGATGATTTTTATCTGTCAACAGAGTAAATTTGATACAGAGCAAGGGCGATACACAAAGACCCCCATTGTGCCACGTTAACAAAGTGCCTCTCCCGAGCACTCCACTGCTATTATTTTGGGTAAATGTGAACGGCCTGACCCACCTACAGAGAGCCTAAAAGCTCTGCATTTCATTTACCAGCGCATTTGCATCAAGCCCTGTGCTCTCTTCAACAACTTTCCTTAAAAATGCAATCAAAGCAGCCCCAGCCACCACAGCTCTCCTGCAGGGCTCTGATATTAATGCCACCTGAGAACACAGATTGCAAATTTAGCTGGAAGTGAATCACAGTGGCAATTTACAGGGGGAAAAAATATTAATCAAGTGTACTGTTTGTCCATTTCATTTCCATGGAACAGTTGCATAACATGCAAAACATGTTCGGAGCATGTTTTATTCACTGCTCACCTTCTGGAATGCACTTAATACTTTAATACACCACTAATATATAACTGAATGGATAATTCACTGATTTTTCCCTCATTAAAGTGAGGCTGTTTTAATGGTTGGGGTAAATCTATGGCAGCAAAATTAATCAATTCAAAAACATCCTTACAACAGAGCTCAGTATATAAACCACCCATATAAACCCCCACTGCAGATGTCTCAGACCCATCTGTACAGCTGTGAGTGCAGAACTTTATTTCCCATGTATCATTTTATGACTAACTGGAGCAAAGAGACATTAGCTGAATGGAGAAGCTTCCTGGCAGCCAGGAAGACAACGGGATTGTACTTAAATTCATGGTTCTTATGAACCATGCCAGTCTCATAGCAAGGTAGGGCAAGTGACCAGTCATTGCTGTAGGAAATTTGAGGGAAAACTGACTTAAAGCAGAGTCAAATCTATTCTGTCCCAGTGGTGCTCCCAGAGGAACTAATACTGGAAGGAAAGGTGGCCTAAAGGCTCCTTTGTCCATGTGCTATCCCAAGCAATACAGAAAATCACAAGAGGAGGAAGATGGAAGGTGTGAAATCCAGGATCCCAATCCATGAGAACAATGCAGCATTTCCCCTAGAGACAGCTCAAAACCTACAGCACTGCTATGATCATTCCCTCCTGCAACACTGCCTAAACCAACCCTCCTTCTCCAGCACAGGAACCCTCCCATCCCCACCAGCAGCTCAGGTACACACCACCAACCAACCCTCTGCAGAGCAGCTTTGCCTCTGCTGAGGGAAACAATGCCCAAACTGGTCACAGTGAGCTCTGCAACTGCAGAAAATTTACTTCTGCAGAGATTAACAAAGGGAGGTTTCGAAATCTCCACTGCTGAGTATGAACTTTCAGCTTTTTCCAGCTTGGCTGGATTTAACTGGTTTGGTTTTAAATGTTTCACTGAATTAACGAGTTTGGTTGTTAATGCAAAACATTCGTTCCGAGCAGTGCCAAGGTCCCCAGTTAGAAGATTAATTTTTGTGACCTTTTGCAAACCTCGCCCAGAAACAACAACCAGAAAACCCACCAGGCAGCACCACCAGCCAAGACACAGCCAGGCAGAGAGGCTCCAGTCCCACCACCCTGGCATGGGGACACCAGCCTAGCTGCCCTCCTCTGCCCCCAGCCCAGCCACTGCTGAGTGCCAACACTGGCACTGGGGACAAAGCTCCATGTGGACACAAAGGATGGCTATGTGCTCTGTGGGCTCTGGTGCTCTGCTGAAGAGTGAATGCTCCATTAAAATAAAATGAAATTAATAAAAATTAAATAAAAATCAACACCAAAATAGAAGTAAAATAACAGTTTTCTCAACACTTTTGGTGCCTGCTAGGCAGGCAGACACGCTCCCCAGGTCAGAGACAAAGTTGATGTTTCTGTCTCTTATGGAGCCAACCACAATATTGGCACTTTAAATAAAAGAGGTTTGTTTTTAAGCTGAAACTGTGCAGGCCCTGGTTGATAGCATCATATGGTGGGAAAAGAGGAAGAAAAACACATCAAAGGAGGAAAAAAAAGTTGAAGTTTCTGAGTTTTTGTCTCTCCCCTTCATGCTCTACCTCCAGCCAGGCCCGGAAGATGCATGGCTGTCTTTGGGAATTCCACAGTTGACTTCCCAGATCCTACTGTAATGAGTGAGGCCATTAAATAAATGATCCCTGTGGCCAGCACCAGCAACCAGGTGCTCCATGCAGCACCCAGACCCCAAGGGCTGAGCCACCTTCCCCTTCCCATCACCAAGCATGTCCTACCAGTACAGCACCCAGTTTGCCCTGGGCAGCACTGGGTGCCAGCTCAGCCTGGGACTGGGTGCATTTACCAGAGTGCTGGAGAGGGGAGGAAAAACAGGTCCATGTACATGGGGCAGAGCACCATGGCCAC